ACAAGGGAAGGATACTTGGTCGCAGTGGCAATTCAAGAGGAGATGTATTAGTATGTGGTAGGCATAAAATAAGGCCCGGTTCCTTTATGCATGTGCTCATTTTGCTTCCATGAAATGTGTCCTACACGCTTTCAAAACGTTTTTGGGGCTCAATGTTGCGCATCTACGGAGCTCCCTCATAATTTAAGATTCCGGGGAATAGTAACCCAGTAGATTTAGTTTACCGCTACTGACCAAATAGCTACGCCTCTCTACCCCGGTATCTCAAAACTTTTGGCAGGGTTGTGGATGTCGTTCGCTCTCAAAACATCTCGAGATCATCGCCGGGACCGGAACCAATTAGCGGTCCAAAGCTATCTCGCGTGTCTTTGACGCTTTCATCAGAAGAATCGTTAACGAAAATTTTCCGATTTCATCCGGAGAACTCGCGTTGTCTCCCACGAAGAAAGCATCTGTAGACGAGAAACAAAACAACAGAGCGGTTGCTCTGCGAAATCCTAGCACAGTAGCCGTGAATCCTTCACTGATATTCGGTTATACGGTTAAATGATAATCGCTCTACACAGGTTTCGGTAAAGGAGGTCGTGTTGGCCCGGCGTTCACGTTTTTAATCGGTGCCATCTTTCGAGATGGATAGCGTTTCATCGAGCGACTTCCTGGTCGTGCTAGAGGAGGCGGCCATGGGTCGTAGAAGGCAGCACCTTGTTCGTCTTTCGGTGCACTTGACGCGTAACAGCTACGCTTCACCAAACCGACTCTATTAGGGCAGAGCTACACAGCCAGTACATAGTTGGCAATCTTCTTCGGTATGGTGTCCAAGGACCTTTTCCTGTGTGAACGGCTGCGGATTCTTATTCCATCGAGGGAACCTCAGCCAGGCGTTGGGTTTTCGAGTTCGCGATCGATATTAATGCCTGAAAGAGCGCGCGTAGACTTGTCAATTGAAAAATCTCGGAGTGGGTACCGGTACTCAGAAAATGATGACAGTTCCAAGATCTCTGCAATATTCCGTTACACATATAAATAATGTTAGACGTCAGGCAGGGATAGCCGAGTGGATAAGAGTGTAGGCTCACGTCTGCACTTAGAGGGAGTGCGAGTTCGATCCCTGCCGAGGCAACTCCATGCCTTGCAAAAATTGCAAAAATGGTATCGGTACCAGCGTCAGGCCAGGTTGACAGGCCGCTGATGGAGAAACCCAGTCACAACAAACATGTCTAAAGTCTCAAAAGGTATCAGTGATAAAGCTAGGACGTCACCCGGAAGTGGCGCACAGGATCCCCGCCAGAGTTCTGTGGACAGTATGCGAGGGCTACCGAGGAGTGAACGACCTCGGTCAAAGAAGTTAGTTCGAATTGGGTCTCTGAACGTGGGTTCGCTTACTGGGAAGTCCCGAGAAGTCGCCGATCTAATGAAGCGCAGAAACATCCAAGTCCTATGCCTCCAGGAGACCCGCTGGAAGGGAACAAAGGCCACAGAAATCGGAGAGGGTGGTAAACTCTACTACAATGGGGATGACACCAAACGAAATGGCGTGGCGATAGCAGTAGCGGAGTCCCTCAAAGACTCCGTCTCCGCCGTCAGCAGGATCAGTAGCAGAATCATGGCTGTAAGGATAGACACGAAGGAGGGGTATTGGACAATAATATCAGTGTNGAGAACATCTCAAAAAAAGATACTGGAAGTTGGACTTCCAGACCCCGAGGGACCGATCCAGCAGACCTGGAGCAGCGCTGTCAAGGTCATCCTAGGATGTGCAAAAGAAACGCTGCGGGAAACTCGAGGTGGTCTCCGAGGAGACAAGGAAGCATGGTTCTGGAACGATGAAGTCCAGCGAGTTGTGAGAGAGAAGAAATTGGCCTACAAACGTTGGCAAAAGACACGAGCTCTAGAGGACCTAGCTGCCTACAAAACTTCCAAAAGGCTCGCTAAGGCTGCTGTGGCGAAGGAAAGAACATGGAAATGGACGCCTTGTATGAAAAACTTGACAGTCGAGAAGGGGAGAAGTTCGTTTTCCGCCTGGCGAAAGCGCGTCACCGTGCCACTCAGGACTTCGGGGTAGTGAAGTCCGTCAGGAACAGCGAGGGTGCAATCTTGAGGAAGCCTGGGGAGGTCAGGCGTAGGTGGAAGGAATACTTCGACAAGCTCCTCAACGAAGAATTCGCCCGTGAAAACAGCTCCCACTTGGAGGCAACGGCTGGCCCCATCGAACTCTGGACAGAGGATGGAGTGCGCATAGCAATAGGGAAGATGAAGGTTGGAAAGGCAACTGGTCCGGATGGAGTACCGATCGAGGCATGGAAGGCGCTCGGAGAGCACGGGATAAAGTGGCTCACCCGATTCCTGAACACTGTCACCGCTGAAGGAAGAATCCCAGATGGTGGAGGAGGAGCACTATCGTTCCAATCTTCAAGCAGAAGGAGGACGCGATGGACTGTTCCAACTACCGGGGGATCAGGTTGACTGTTCACACGATGAAACTGTACGAGCGGCTGGTCGACTCAAGATTGAGAGAATTGGTCCCAATTTCAGAGGAGCAGTTCGGCTTCATGCCTGAAAGGTCTACAACGGCCATCTTCATAGCTAGGCAAATTATAAAGAAGTATCGAGAAAAGCGTAGACCATGCTACCTAGCCTTCCTCGATCCGGAGAAGGCATTCGACCGGCTTCCGCGAGAAGTCCTATGAAGTGCGCTCCGAAAACGAAACGTGCCAGAACACCTCATCTCCTTGGTCAAGGATATGTACGATGGCTCCACTACAACAATACGCACTGCGCACGGCCAAACGGGAGCAATAGATGCCACTGTTGGGGTACACCAGGGATCAGCTCTGAGCCCGTTCCTCTTCCTGCTCACGATGGATGTCATCACAGAAGAACTCGTGGATGGACCACTGAAGACCATCCTCTACGCTGATGACATCGCCCTGATAGCGGAGAGCAAGGAAGAACTCCAGGACAATCTCCAGAAATGGCAGAAAGTGCTGGCGGAAAATGGACTCCGGCTGAACGTGAGGAAGACCAAGTTCCTCAGCTCCGAGGAGGGCATGGAGTCAATCACCGACGATTACGGGGAAGGCATCAAAAAGGTCCAGGACTTCCGATACCTGGGGAGTGATCTAGCCGCTGATGGTAGCGTGGACCAGGCCGTGAAATCCCGAATAAACGCTGCATGGATGAAGGGGAGGAAGTCCACTGGTATCCTCTGCGACCGTAGGTGCTCCAGAACTCTCAAAGGAAAGGTGTATCGGGCAGTGGTAAGGCCCACGATGCTCTACGGCAGCGAGTGTTGGCCCTTAAGTAAATCCCATGAAATACAGCTCCACTCCGCTGAAATGAGAATGCTGAGATGGGCCTGCGGCTGGACACGACTGGATCGGATCAGGAATGAAGACGTCAGGACGGTCATGCAAACAGCTCCAGTTCAACTAAAGATGAGGAAGCAGCGATTAATGGTTCGGACATGTCCTAAGAAGACCACAGAGCCACCCGATAAGGAAGGCAATGGAGTTCGAGGCGCAAGGCAAGCGACCACGGGGAGCCCCAAAGAAGAGATGGCGGGACGTGATCAAGAAGGACCTCGCCGAAGTCAAGGTGACGGCAGAAGATGCCGTAAATAGAATGAAGTGGAGACAACTAATAAGAACAGCGGACCCTGCGACGGCGCGGGACTAAAGCTAGGGAGAAGAAGAAGAAGAAGAAGAAATAATGTTAAAGGTCACGGCCGACGTACATACATACAGGCCACTGGTTTATCCTTAACAGACGCTGTTGGTATCAGTCGTAGGAGTGAACAAAATGCGGAGGAATGAATTGTGCGGTGCTGTGGCGCTTTTACCAAGTATGCCTGGGGATCGAATACGCCTAGGTGGCCGGCCAGGCCAGCCTAGTCGCCCCCTCCACCTCTCTGGCCCATTGCTTTGGCTCTGGTGCAATATGGAGTCAATCTGGTGGTGGCAGCATAAAATGCAAAAACGTCAGCGCCACCAAAATCCGAACCACTAAACCACCCAAGCCGTCCCAGCCCGAAGTCAACATCGCTATCCACCACAACATCCGTCGCTGCCGGCAGCTCAACCGTGGACAGCATATATGAAACTTCCCCCCACTTTTCAACACGTTTCAATATGTGGGTTCCTTTTTTGGTTACCGTTCACGTTATTTTCAATGCACAGCCCACTGGCGCTTTCTACTGTGCGGACAGTCGACGCCATGAATGAAACAAACGTCGCTCAATTGGTTAAAACGGCAATTTCTGACAAAATCATTTTCAGTCCTTTTTTTGGCATTCAGAAGGCCATTTAGCGGAAACGGACCATAGTTCTATACTCAGCGCTCATGCTCCTGCACCATGCAAAAAACATTTTCAAAAAGCGTCCCACGCCCTGAAAGACCATCCTTGTGAGGCCATCGTGAAGTTCACGGCACAGGATTGCACCCTTGAGGCAATCTAGTTTAAGACCGATTTGAAAAAGAACGGGAGAGAAGAACGCCTCACAATTACGAGGGAATTGAGGCCGTATATCAAGTTGGTCTTTCCACAGTGATCTCGATGAATACTGAGCCCATCTGACACTGGTCCCACCATCGGTTGCTGGGTGATTTCAAGGATCCCCGAAGCTACGGTAAGTGGCCCTTGTCCGGGTAAGGTGCGCGCCCTGAGGGGGTCCCGAACTTTAGCAGAGTTGTGGCGACCTTTGATCGAATATCCACATATTGTTTTAGACCCATTTCATTTCATTTTCATTTCATCTTAGCCTATAAAATTTTACCGGAAACCACGTGAGAGTCCAAGATATAAATACGTTAAGCTACAGCAGTGCAAGAATTCATGGAAGCATACTCGTGAAATTCCACACTTCCCCTTGTTCTGACAAGCCATAACTCTTAGTTTAGCCGGGAGCTCCTTCTTCGCCCATCTTATTCTCACGACATCTCTGCGCTTCTGATCATTTTTCTTTGCTTACTTTTATTCTTTTTCTCCGAGGCCTGAGAATGGTCATACATTAGAAAACCTCCTTAGCCCTCGCAACACGAAACCGCTTCGTCATTACCATGAAACCGTCCTCGTTTTATGCAATAGGCATCATAGTTGCCTATGCATTGGCAAACCTCTGCAGACAATCAGATCAAAATTTACTGATCATTGAGAATGGCTGTGTTAAGAGAGGGACAATGGAGGAATACCAAAAAAAACTAAATGAATACAGGAGAAATATCGGGCAGGAACCCTTTGTGGGGAACTATAATAAGTTTCTACCCGATATTTTTCCTCTGTACATTCAATTTTCTTTTCAATTTCAATAATATAATAGAAACCGTCAAGTTCAGAACAACATTGAAATCCTTGATACATGAAAAAAGAATGAGTGCTGTCAATTTTTCTTCGGTTTCTGTGTTTCGTCCTTAGCTGTCACAGAGAGAATACTAGGTTGCCATCAAAAATGACTTTGAGGATGAAGTTATTTCTGCTGTACCAGTGCTTAAATAGAATAAGATGCATCTCAAACAACCTGCTGCTACAAAAGCACATTCGTCGGCAACCAAATACAGGGTGCGAAATAAATATGGCAACAAAAGAATTGGACTTCAGAAACTGCAGTTCTTACTGATACATGGTGAATTTATGTGAGGTAGTTACTGTGTATCGCATCTACAAAACGAACACACATATATAACGTCTCATATAACGTTCCCCTGTACTATTTATAGTAAGAAGACGCTTTGGCTACTCATCGACGGTAGCACGCAGAGTTTCTTGACAAACTCCAGCCCGGGCTTTTTTCAATAACTTCTCAGAAGCAGCAACAGTGATGCGTTTGGGAGCGCAAGCTTTCCTTTCCAGTATAGACTATATCCAACGACCCATAACATTGTGGTCCGAGAAATTCGTAGGATTGGAAGCTGGGATAGAACCGTGAACATTTTCTCAGCACCAGTTTTGATTTTTTTTCCCTTTCGTGAGCGAATACGCCGTAGTTTTCAAAACGTATCTCTAGAAAAATCTCTGACCCTCAGCTGCTTCCTTCCAGAAAATCCTTGGTAAAAAGTTTCGGATTGAATTTCGTGCTTTTCTTGTCTAAACTTACGCTATCGCTCTGATGGTAGAGATTCTAGCTCGAACCATCAAAAAAGAGGGATAATGGCTACGAAAGGCGATCTGACTCTTCTCAGCGGCTTCAGCCCTCGTAGTATGGAACATACGCATACTCTGGGATCTCAACATTTCTTCCACGCCGAACAACCTTTAGTAAGAAACAAGTGTGGCGAAGCGCGTGCCGCGCGCAAGTAGAGCACGGCTTTTGTTTTTTTTTTTCTCTCCAACTTCTTCACGTCAAGAAGCTTATAAGCTTCCGAATACTACCGTAATACAGTGTAATTACTCGGGTAAGATTTTTCTCATCGGCGTAGTCCATACAAACAAATCAGCAGCCCCAAACGCACTCCTCCCCAAGCAATTGTATTCGGAAAAGAGGTGTATGAGAAAAGACAACCGTTTTGAGGTTTATCGTTGACCTTTCTACGCATCGCGATTTAAAAGACTTTCATGTGGGAAATGTTGAAACGAGGAGTGACCCCGGAAAAAGGATTCACCAAATGCTCTCAAAGACGTAACGGTTGGGGAATGTCTGCCACCGTTTTCGAAATCTGACGACCTGAGAGCACCAAAGTAGATATGTGGCCTAAAGTATATCATAAACATAAGGGAAGGTGCAGATTCGGAGAATTTCTCCGAATAAGGAAATTACGGAGGTTCGAAAAGTTGTTACCGTATTTATGGCGCACCCTGTATATCTCAACCAGCTAAGGTGTCTCTTGTATTATTATCTCTTGCATTATGTATACTAGCCGTATTATAAAGCATCTCATCGAGTGAGTTCGCTTCATGTTTTTTATAATTTCGTTGCTACGTTTTAAATTTACTTTCGCAAATGAATATTGGATTGAATCATGCTTTTTATCAAACAATGTTTCGTAGAATTCACCAACCGACCAAGCGATACAGTAGTTTTTAGGTTGGGTTATTTCCTGTCACAATTTTAGCGTTGTTCAAGCCAAAATTATGTCAGAAAAGTCAACCAGAATTCACAATGCATAGAAACAAAAAACGATGTGCCAGGTGTTAAGCTCAAGGTGTGCTTAGATGCTGTTACGTTGGAAGACAGTACGACAGTACTGGACCAACGTTGCGACGTTAGCTGACTTGAAATAGAAGGGTTCAACAAGAGCGTCAAACTTGAAAGGTCCAAGGATACGAGTGGAGGTACGAACAGGAGTCGATCGGACCGGACTTACTACAATTAACCTTGAAAGAAGCGTTGTCATTATCGAAAAGAAATTGGCAGTGCATTCAAGAGGAAGAAGGGCGATCGACGGCGATCAAATGCTTGAGGTTCCAATCACGTGTGCAGAGGAAAAAATTGTGCATAAGGACGGTGTATGGTGGACGAGAGTCTCTGCGTGTATATGTAAACATATCGATAAAAATCGTTTTCCTCATTTGTTACGATTAAATTTTCATGTAGGAGTTACCCTGCAAGCAGTAGGACTTACAGAATTTTCCACTCCAGTTTGTAGAAGTTGCTGTAGATTTCATACACCTCGCAGCCAACCTCGCAATTTGAAGTTGTATTTCGTAGATTTTGCTGATTATTTCGTAGTTGTTGGACCTATTACGTAATTGTTGCAACTAATTGCAATCTACTATACGTTTAGAACAAGTGCTTTCCACTCAGAAAGCTTTGACCATTTGATCGATGAGCGTTTTCTAATTTGTGTGTAGCAGAGTGTCACGAACACCGCCTTGGGGATGGACCATGTTCTCACGGCCCGCCCACTGGGGGCTCAAGCACTTTTTCGAATGGAGGTGTTGATGATTTCGTATGCACGAATGGAACAATTTAAAAAAAAAAGCCTTACTGTATAAAGCGCTTGCGTCTGTGCGTCTGTCTGCTGCGAAATTTGATACTACATGAAGGAGCAGCAGCAGAGGCCGGGCCACGTTTCAATGGATTGAGTAGGGCAAGGCAACAGAGCACATGCGAGCTCAACGGAGCTCCGCCCACAGGGGCTAGACATGTAGGGGACTGGGCGGTGACTTGGGCAAATCTTTCTTATTCGGTCTAATAACAGTCCAGACGCTGGGGAAAAATAAGAAAAGGTGAGGGATGGGTCAACAAACGAGATCGAGCCTCACCGGAGATGGCAGAACGTTCTCGCACAGGGCGGTCTTTCCCCATAAATTCATAATCAGCGAAAGCGTGGAGGCCAGAAAAAAAAGAGAGGAGTTAGCAATGCCTTCTGCGTGCTGGACATGCGTAAACATAGCAAAGATAATTCCCTGGTAGACGGATCAAGCTCTGATCAGAAACATTCAGAGACGCGGGAAAAAATGTTCAGATGTAAAAGAAGCAATTCGGTCAAACCTCAGAAGTAGGCGCGGTTTGCCCTAATGTGGGCGGTACTAGGATTAAAAATGCATAACTTTGTTCAGATATGTTCTGGAACGTGGGCAAAAGTGGTTAGAGGCAGTAAAACAACTGTAGTAAATTTTTCAAAATGGGCGGAGTTTGCACTTAAGTGGTCGGGGCTAACATTATAAATTCATAACTATTGGACATCCCATGTCAAGTTTTCCCATCCTGCCCCGCATCTCTGCCACACTTGGACATCCCAAGTCCAAATTTACTATTTTTGAAGGAGCCCCCTACGCCTGCCACATGCCCTTATTTTCCCCATCTTGCCGCCCGCATCTCTGGCAAATTTGGACGCCTCAGGCTCAAATTTACTTTTTTTGAGGAAGCCCCGCCTCCAGTGGGTGGAGCTTACACCTTCCACCTGCCTTAGTTTTCCATGTCGCCGCCTGCATCTCTGTCAAATTTGAACACCTCAAGTCCAAAATTACTATCATTGAGGAACCCCGCCCCCAGTGGGCGGAGCCTACCCCTGCCACATGCCCTTATTTTCCCCATCTTGCCGCCCGCATCTCTGCCAAATATCCCAGGCCCAAGTTGACTATTTTTGAGAAAGCCCCGCCTCCAGTGGGCAGAGCCTGCACCTACCACCTGCCCTTAGTTTCCGCATCTTGCTCCCCACATCTCTGCCAAATTTGGACATACCAGGTAAAAAGTTACTGTTTTTGAGGAGTGGGCGGAGCCTACGCCTGCCAGTGGGCATGTGGCAGGTGTAGACTCCGCCCACTCCTCAAAAACAGTATCTTCGGAAACGTTCTAGAACGCTGGAAATAAAGTGGTGAGGTGTAGTAATACTAAAGCAGTAATCTGCTTGAAGTGAGCAGGGTTTGCACTAATGGGGGCGGGACTCAGGTCAAAAACTTTTAACTTTCTTCGGAGACGTTCTAGAATGCAGGGGAAAAATTGGTTAGAGGTAATAGAGGGGATGTGGTCATATTCTTGACTTGGACCGAGATAATAAGACAGTGCTGGGCGCAGTCGATATTAAACTTTCATAACTTTGTTCAGAAGCTTTCTAGAATGCAGGGAAAAATGGTCGGAGGATATAGAGGGATGTGGCTAATTCCATGACTCAAGCGAAGTTTACACAGGTGTGGGTGGGGCTAGGATCTGAAATTCATAACTCTGTTTAAAGCGCTCTAGAAAGCGGATAAAGTGGTTACGGTCGTTGAAAGAAAGGTGACCAAACTTTTGTAGTGGACAGGGCTATGATCAACTACTAATAACTCTGCTCCGATGAAATATATCAAGCGGATGCCCCTAAAGGGGTCCCAGTGTTCAAATCTGGATAGAACTCTCATTCCGACACATCAAGTAATCCGCTGAATGACTCTATCGTAGATGAGCGGTCGTGGATATTCAATGCACGGCGTTAGCGTGCGTAGCCCAACCGGTATCGAAATGAAAGGTGGAGGTTCAAGGCACTGTTCACGAAAAAATTGTTTCGGAGTTTTGCACGTGGTTTGAATTCGACGCCCCCTCTGATACCATTTGTGCAGGATTGAGGTCGGAAAACGGTCTGGATAGGGCACAATAAGGGGCCGGAGAGTTAGCCACGGTCGCCCTCCGCCCCTCGCTAGAGGCTGACTACGAAATCTAATTGCCGTTCACCACTTTCGCATTGGAGCGAAGTTGGTGAAAAATCGATAAGCTGGTTGGCAAATTGCCATTCTGCCAGTCAGATTGTCACGCAAATTGGGTGTGTTGTCTCCTATTGCAGATATTGCGTCGCCTTCGTGCACTCGCCCGAACCCCCCCTTCCCCGCCGTTCTTCCAAGTGAAACTCGTCCAACCCCCCTTTCCAGCTCTTTTTTGACCCTTTCTATTTCTTTTTTTTCATCGTTTTTGCGCTTCTTTCGTTG